GGTGGATTAACATGGTTGTATTGCTTTCAATTTTTGACCTAGTTTAAAATGGTGAGAGTTTAAGGATTGTTCTTGTTTGCGTCTTGGGGAAGGATGGGTGGAGGTAGAATGGAAGGCAGAAGAGGGTTTAGGTTCTCATCTTGTATCAGTCACTCTGTGTAAACTCTACCAAACTGTCCCAGCACTCCTGCATTCAGAGTGATAAAATCCCAGTGTTTGGGGTTTTGCTGCATTTCAAAACACATGGCGATGAACTGGAACTGTTCAGCATTCACCCAGCTCTTAGAGGAGCCTCTGGTCATTCCTGGGCATTAACCTAACATTTCTGGCTCGAAGCTCCAAAAGGTGAGTTCAATCTATAATGCAGGTAACTCATCTGCAATCGGTTGGTTCTGGCATATTAACCCCACATCTAAATGCCTGTATTTTAACCATGACCACTGAAACCTCATTAGCCAGTTTTGCACACCACCCAGTTTCCTAGTTGCATCCCTAATCAGTGTGATCTGGGTCTAAATTCCAGACTGCTTATTAACCCTTTCATGGTATAAATTCAGTCTGAGTGAAGGGAGAATGTGATGGGCGTGAAGGAGCAACGCCACCAGCCTGGCCCAAGGACCCTGTGCAGCCCATAGACTTGGTACAGCTGTCAGGGCCAGCTCCAGGCACCAGCCTACCAGGCATGTGCTTGGGGCGGCACCTGGAGGGGGGCGGCGCTCAGGCCCGAGAGCAGGGCTGCGACTGGGCTCGCCGCCCCCCCGCGGCGCTCCGGCCGGTCGGGGAGAGCGGGGCCCGCGGCGGGCTCGCCGCCCTCCCCCCGGTGCTCCGGCCGGTTGGGGAGAGCGGGGCCCGCGGCGGGCTCGCCGCCCTCCCCCCGGCGCTCCGGCCGGTCGGGGAAAGCGGGGCCCGCGGCGGGCTTGCCGCCCTCCCCCCGGTGCTCCTGCCACCGGGGAGAGCAGAGCCGCCGCGGGCTCGCCGCCCTCCCCCCTCCCCGGCACTCCGGCCGGTCGGGGAGAGCGGGGCCGCGGCCGGGCTCGGCGCCCTCCCCTGCCATGCTCCCCGGCGGGGGGAGGGGGGGGAAGCCTTTTTTGCCTGGGGCGGCAAAAAAGCCAGAGCCAGCCCTGACAGCTGTATCCCATGCAGGGCTCTGATGATGGACAGAAATAATTGCCAGTTAAAGGCTATTTTAAATGGTTTATCGTATCACTGACAATGGTTACCAGATCCACTGCTGGCTGGATGCGATGGGCTAGATTATGGCATTGACACTCCCACTGTCCTAGGAAAGGAGCATCGTGGAGATCCCCCGAAGCATGAGAATTTTCCCCACCTTGTGTGCATGAATTTGAACCATGAAAGGGTTAATAAGTGCTTCTTGTGCAGCCTTCACCCTGCAAGGATCATTGTGACCTGTCCTTTAATCAAGGAAACCCGCGTAGCAGGGGGCCATTTGTTAAAGGACCCCTTACACCGCTATGGCCCTTTGGCACACATTTCTCACTCTATGCCTCTGGCTGAGGCTTTCCTAGGCTTACTGAAATACAGTCCTATTACCACGGGGAAGCTACTCATCCAAATATGTATCAGTGCAGAGATATTTTGAGCCTATTTATCACTGCTATTCAGCATGAGAACAAAGAGAGGAAAAGGAAGAGAACAATCATTGTATATTGCCGTATGATTTTCCATCCACACGGACTATCAATTGCCTGAGGTTCCAGATTGGCAACATGTCTCTCTCTGCTGTTTTCCTTTTTAATGACGTGAAACCTTTGAATACCCTGATTTGGACCTATGTGCATGTCAGCTGCTTGCCTTGCCTTCCCCATGGTAGATATTCCTTGGTGCCATTATAAAACAACTCCAGTCAAGGACCCTGCAGACCTACACACCCATCGGCTAGGCTAATCAGGCGTAGAGAGCTGAAAAACACATGCTGTCCACACACTGTTTAAAAAACATGTGCCAGATCTATGGCCATTCAATTGCACAGTGAAAGGACTAAAACTTTGCCGAAAACTCTTTTTATTAATAGGAGAAAACCTGCCTTGAATCAAGGGTGGTGAAGCAGGCAAAAGGGATGTTCCAGCTGCCCCAGCTTGCGGAGGAGGTGCGAGCGATCTGCTGTTATCAATGCTCTGCATTGCATTATTTTAAAGGCAAGACTGTCATCTCCTATTACGTTAGCAGCCTTCAGAAAGTTATGTTAATTTCACAGATGACAGCCCCTCCCTCCTGTAAATATACAAACTGAGCAAAACTCCTCCAGGCACAACCCTTTCCTGGCCAGTGCCGGGATCTGAAAGGGGACTAAACATTTCCCACGAACAATAAATGGTTCAAGTGTCACACTATGAGGAAGGGGACAGGGAAAGAGAATAACATATCAGGGGTTAATGAAGGTCCTAAACATACATTAAAGCCATGCATAAAAAGAATTCTAGCTGCTCCTTATAAACGTAATAAAGGAATATAGCTTGGAAAGGCCCCAATTCTCAGCCCATCAACCTGCCAGAATAGCTGGGCTGGGTTCTGGGTAGCGCCGAAGGGGTGGGGGAAAGAAACAACCCCCTTCCCTTCCCTGCCGTTCTGCAGCTCTGATGCTGCAGCAGCGTGCCCCCTGGGCAGGGTAGGAAGGTCTATGCAGCATCTCATCCAATAGCACGGCCCCATATGCATTGCTACATGGCAGCCACTGCTCCACGGATGTCCATGCCACAGGGCTGCGTACGCCTCCCTCTTTATATCACTCCCTTCCCACGTAGCAGAACTGTGTTGGCTCCACTTTGCAGGCAACGCTCTGCATAGCCATGGTGGAGACAGAGGGCAGGATTTCCCCCTCAAAGATTAGGTTTGCCCACTGTCGTTCAGCTTACCATCCACGATCTGCTCCCTCCAGTTAGTTACCCTGAGGGGTCCACGAGTGAAATGTGAGGCTGGGATAACACAAACAATGGGAGGCTTTAAGTTCTGTTAGAAACAATATTTACATTGACTGAACCCAGAAAACGCATCGTGTTCTGATGCGGTTTTCAGTCCTCTTCAGAGCACAGCTTAGTAAGGGGCAAAGAGACCATAAATCCAAGGAAGAGCATGCCATTTAAACAACATTTACCAAGAGTGTGTGAAATGATGCAGCACTGTATTTCCCTGTACTTATTATAGGAAATAGCTGTGGGCACTCAGATCCTGTGGGCAAATGTTGAGTTTTTATCTAGTTACTGGTCTGGTCAATGTAGCTGGCTGGTACAGTATGAGTTCTGGGATGTTTCCAATCTCTGCAGGAGATATGGTAATTGCATTATTGCACAGATGTGCCGAGTCCTGCACTGTAAACCTGGAACTTACTTCAGTCCTTCATAAAACTCAGTATTGAGGGGACTTCTCCTGTATGGCAGGACAATTATGTAACTCAATATGGCAAGTTCACTGCACAGATGTTTAGGAGGCCTGAGAACCTCCAATTTCATTCTGTCTTTTCAGACGACACACTGCGCATTGTGCATGATTCATATCTGAAGTGGCCTAATAAATCTTCGCCATGCAATGCTTGACTCCTCACTGAGTGGGTGGAACTGCAGGCTGACAAATGTTTATAACATATGAACTAGTCGTGTTTATTTTACACGCTAGCCAGCCCCAATGAGAGGATGAGGGAAGCGAATGAGATGGCTGGGTGGGGGCATGGATGTTCAGATCAAAAGCTTCAATCTGTTTTTTTCCCCCCCAAGTAAATTCAAATTTGCTCAGAATTAAATTCTCCATCTCAGAAACAGAGAATAAGGGGTCTGAACCAAGACCCATTAAAGTCAATGAGGGGCTTTCAATTGGTGCTGTCCTAACTGCTCTTACTGACGTCCACGGTAAATCTCATTTTGATTTCAATCAAAGCAGAGTTAGTCCAATGCTGAGCGCTTTTGAAAACCCCATAGTACAATGTCTATCCTGCTATTTAATAAGGCTGAGATGAAAATGTGATAACCTCCTGCAACATCTGCTCGGCAGCTAGCCAGACATTTTCAAGTCCAGGAAAACCATGTTTTCTTGTAAAGCTATTTCTAAATTCCGACGTGTGTTGGACATTACGTAAAGCACAACGCTGCATCACAAGAACAACCTTGCAAAGGGCTCAATCCTTCCTGGCGCTCAGCCTGATCCAGCCATGCACTGAGGCATGTGAGCAGTGCCATTCATTAAAGTGCTTTGCTGACTTGGGCCAGAGTGTTCAGCACCTCGAAGGACTAACCCTCAAAAGCCCAATTCTCCTGTCTGCCAAACTGGAACATCTGGATGGGTTTTAAACCATCCCTATTGCCTCATCGAAATATCATTGGCTCGAAGGCTGAACAGCGGCACTGACATTATCTATGCTTCACTGGAAAGGCCAGATCTGCAGTGGGTGTAAATCAGTATAGCTCCAGTGAAGGCAAGGAAGCTACTGATTTATACAAGCTGAAGATCTGGCCCAGCGTCTGTGTACTGTGGCTGCTACAGTATCTTTACTTTCCCCAGGTGAGCCCACTGGTACAAGTCTGAGTACGGTTAAATTTGATCTACTGTCAACCTTTAGAGGATTAATAATTCTAAGTCGTGATGATAAACTATGTTTTATTGTAACTTTCCTAAATGGGCTCCACATTGTGTGTGATTCCAATTGGTTTAGCTGTGGCATCATTACAGGGTTACCAACAAGATTGCACTAGAATACAGAAGTGATTTAATACAAATATTTATTCTGAATGCAATCCCCCACTTTAGCGTTTCTTAACTGAAAGCAAAGTTCAATTGTCTACAATTCCCTTAGATCATAACCAAACCTCAGCAGAGTTCATGAAATGCAGAATTTCTACACTGGAAAGCCTTGCACAAGCCCTTGTGCAGCTTGACTTGCTTAAAAAGAAAAATATGTAACGTTAATTTCACTGGAAAGAAGTATCCCTGAATTTTCTGTGCTAAGTTTTTGAAGCCGTATGACCTTGCATTAGTTATTAAACACTTACTTGACTCGCTATTGTCACAGTCCTGGGGATTGCACTTCTGGGTGTTCTCTGGCCACTGTTCATGGTCACACAGGCTACTGTCTTCTTCAGCTTCACCAGTTTTTGTGTTCATGCACTTCACCTGTCGCCGCTGGATGCCACCACCACAGGTAGCTGTGCACTGCAGAAAGTTAATTAGCTGGGATATAATCAATTGCATCCAGAATTAAGGTTTATTTTTTATATGTTGCTGCTGGATTTGAGACTTCACTTAAATATCTATACGCTACATCGCTATTCACATGTTTAAAGTGGCATCCGAGCAAAATTCCTACACTGTCTTTGTAGAACTTATTTCTCTTTTATCCCCTGCCCCAGTTAGTTCTGTTTCTATGGGATACAAAGGCATTTCTATTGTACATAACCCAAAGTTTATCTGGTGCTGCTGCGCGCATTAGCTTCCGCTAAGTGAACAGACCTCTATTAATTCTGCTGACTGAGGAGGTGGGAGGCTTCTTGTTTGGCTGAACACGAGGCACAGTTAGCAACACACGTCCATTAACCTTTATTGTCTTCATAGCTGGCCTGGCTCCTCCAGTTTTTATAAAGTATCTGGTCAAAACAGGACTTCTTTAGAAACAGAATTCCCCCGTGTGCCTTTTCTCAGCAGAGCTAGTCAATGAGAAACTCTTCATTGTGGTTTATTTTTGTCAATATTCTGTACAATTTATTGAAACTGAGTCACTCACAATACGTCTCCATTCAATTCTCAGATACATGGACATGGAATGGGACATCGGTCTGCACTGAAAACTTTTACCACCATAACTATGTCAGTTAGGGGTGTGATTTTTTTGCCGACATCGTTATATTGGGAAATGCCCTAGTATAGACACAGTTATAGTGGTATAAGGTGATTTATACCAGCATCATTTATTTCATTTTGCCAAACCAAAATAAGCTAGACTGGTAGAAGCACTTTTATACATCTACACTAGGTTTTTTTTGCTGCTTTAACTACGCCAGGATAGTTAAAGAGGCAAAATGTTTAAGTGTAGACAAGACCTTATAAACTCTACTATAAATTGTGTGGGCTTGATTGCAGAAACCAGTGTTACAGACCAGGTAGTATAGCAGGTGTTTGCTTATCTGAGATCATAGTTAAGTCCCTGGAAAACTGCTGTACAAAAATAATACACGTGATTAATTCCCAAGAGAAATTCAGCTACAGGAGACATTTATTTCCCTTAAACATTTGCTCACCTCTCCCCATGATCCCACTACCCATTTGGTACATGGGTGAGTGTTGCAGGGTCTTGTGTTATTTGGCCTTAACATTTCATCACACCGTCCGAATTCTGGACACGTAACTAAACGCTCCTGCTCGCCGCTGCCGCATGACTCAGAGCACTAAGGAGAAACAAACAAACCATCAAATTGGAATCAGTCTGGAGTAACAGAAAGGGAAAAACACCCCACTTACTTGTTACTTACGGAATTACAGTGTGAAGTGGCCCTAAGAAAAATTTGCCTCCAGTGTTGAATGCCCATTTTTGTGATTATAACTATTGTCTGTGGGCGGTTTCAGTTGTGGAAGTGAGGCTACTAAATTGATTTGAAGTTTAACTCTTAGGCACACACCGCTTTGTAAGCATACAGCAGATCTCAGCTCATATACATTCACTACTTCCTAGATCCAAATACTTAGAGGGTCAGATTCTGCCCACAAGCAAAGGTCACACAATACTCCCACTGACTTCTCATCAACGAGAGTCACACAAATCGAACTGAGTGTGGAATGTGGCCTACAAGCTGTCTGGCACTACTGTGTACTTCTTAAATAATAGCCAGTATACGCTGCACTATGAGGCTAAGCAAAAGTAAAATGCCAGCAAAATGTATTTGCAGGGAAGGGAATGAAAAATAAGTGCTGATGTGAAACATCACATCACAAACCAGACAAAAAAATATATTTACTGGATATACAGATAAGAAAATGAATGGGGCATCTAGTGATAAATGGATCCAAGTTAGGAAGATATTTGACTGGGAGAGTGTAGAGTAAACAATAGATTTCAAGGCCTTCAGATTCCTTTATTTAGCTGACAGGCTACTTTTAAAGCTGAAGGCAAAAGTGAACATGGAATAAAAGATAATGGGCTAATCCCATGCTGCAGTGTAAGCACGGGGGTTACGAAAGCAGAACTGTGCCAAACTCAGACTGGCGGGGAAGGAGAAAATCAGTGAAAAATAACATTTAATTAACCATTTAAACATTTTTCTGTGGAATCTTCCAACTGAAGATATCCTGGGATGCATCATTACGGGGCTTCACAAATACCAGAAGTCCCCTTGTAATCCCAGAATGCCTCATTCAGTGACATCTCCGGTAAACAAAGAAAAAACAGGAAAGGAAAACAGATAAGTTACAAGCTATTTTGGGGCTGAGTGCCTTCACCAGCCTGCTCAGGGGACCCTCTGGTGGGCACCGCAGATGGCTAGCTTCAGCTGGATTCTCCTACGTCCAACTAACAGCAGGGTTTGGAACACAGCACCAGATTTATTAATCTCCTAGTTTGTGGGGCTATTGATCTGTCTGTGGAAACCTATGGGGGCAAGTGGAAGAGAACATAGAGCAGCAGTTGCCTACTGGAATTTCCATTAGAACATTCAACCCGTGTCTGAGATTAACCCAATTTTCATCATAGTTTGGCAGTTCATCATTTAATAAACACTTGATAGTGTTGGGTTATTTGCAAACAGCTGTTAAAACATATTGAAAAGAACTTGGTCCATCTGTGCCTTCATGTATTCCTTACAGAGACACCTGCTGCATCAGGACCCTCTGAACTCTAGTGACGTTTGGACCAGGCCCATCTCCGATGATGTATTGCGTGCACCTTCTCTCTCTCTCTAGAAATCCCCCTCACCTCTCTCCAGGACGAGGTATACCAGTCCAGACAAGGCTTGGTTTGGCAGGGAGTCTGCATTGGGGGCTTGTAGAAAACAGCTTGACAATGAAAGGGCCGCAGAAGCCTCTGTTCTCTGGTGTCAACGCAGTGCACGTCCCGAACCTTCAGTCCCCCTCCGCAGTTCTTGGAGCACTGGGTAAACAATACAATGAGTCATGCTGGTGGAGCGGAGGCAGTAACAGTGTCCAGACATGAATCTCTCTGGCAAAGTGGAGTTTACCCAGATATTAAAGAAATGAATTGTCAAGCTCTGTCTTTCATTAACTCTTTCAGTTTTTGCCTTTGGGTCTCTCCATAATTGTACCTGGCCCAAGCTGGAGAGGGTCCTAAGCATGACTACCACCACCAAGACTTTCCACTCTGAAAGGATTCTATTTGCATTTTCAGTGGCGACAGCTTTTTGAGGTCATGTCCCCACATCCACAGATCTTGAAAGTTAAGGCCTGTTAAAATCATTCATAGTAATCCTGCCGTTCCAGGAGCGTTGCCTACCATTTATTCTCAGTGGGATTGTCCAGTCTAGTTTTAAAAGTCTCCCGCTATGAGGGATTCTTGTGCAACTTTCTGAGAGCCGAACACCCCCAAGGTATTCCCCAATATCCTCCCACAACTCCCCTTTATTTCGCTTCAGCCCAGGCCTCTTTCGACCACCCTAAGTGATTCCACTCCTACTTTCGCTGACTCCCTTCCAAGCAGAGCGATTATGTTCCCACCAGTTACTCTTTACACTCACTGGGTTTCCTAGTTTGGGCTTCAGCCCCAACAGGAATGTTTACACGGCTATTCTTAGCTCCGCAGCCTGAGCCCAGCATGTCTGAGTCAACTGACCCTGGCTCTGAGACTTGATGGGGTGGATTTTCCTTTGCAGTGCAGCCATACCCAGAGACACCAATAAAGGGCAAGGAGAAGGGAAGTATATTTATGTTTACCTTACTCCAGTTTCCAATACGCCACGAGGAACATGGTCTCAGGTAACACCTTCGAGCAGGGACAGGTTTATTTGCAGCAACACAATCTTCATCTTTGCCTGTGCTACAATGCACTGTCCTCCAGCTAGCTCCTAAGCCACAGGTTGTGGAGCACTGGAACACAGTCAGTAACAGAGCAAAAATTAACCCCTGCCTCACCCACCCACAGAAACCAAAGTTCAGCAATCAGGGAGCAATGAGCTACACAGGCAGCAAAGCAAACAACTTGCCCTATGGTATTCGACAGGGATGAAACCACAAGAATGCAATAAAAATTAAATGGGATTCTTCAGAAATGTGTCTTAAAACCTGCAGGGCCCAATTCACCACTGGATTACTGC